TGTGTGTGTGTGTGTGTGTGTGTGTGTGTGTGTGTGTGTGTGTGTGTGTGTGTGTGTGTGTGTGTGTATGTGTATTTGTCATTCATATAAATTGGTCGTGGAGCGCGCATTAAATTTAGGCGAGTTTTCCCCTTCTTGTTGAATACGCGTGAACTTTCGACTATTCGATTTTTGACGCTGCGAGGAGGAAAAAAAATTAAAGTATGACGATAAGTTTGACAGATGGAGCTTGAAAACCACAATATTGCCTTTATGTATGGAACATTTAAGGCCATAATCATTTAGATATAGGGCGCATGATTCGGTCGCCCCTGTGGCGTGACAGGAATTCAAAGCAATCCAAGCGAAGCGGGCACCAAATCGATCCATTGAGTAGAAGAGGTCCCTTTTTCTGTGGCAATTACACACACTGGGTCACAAAACTTTCCCTTGTTATTGATTTCACAGTTGAATACACATGGGGGATATCATAGTCTATTTCAAAGGATGTTTTGTTACCTACTGAACTCATATCCTGAGAATTAATGTAATGTCAACACACCCATTTAAGAGACGATAGGTCCAGTATGTAGTAACAGTTTAAGCGACATTAGAATGGCATTGATAGAGCGAAACTGCGATCGTGTCACCGAGAGTGTAGTTTGTTTTCCTAATGTATCTTTTTCCGAGGGAATTATTTCTTTTGTTGAAGTGTTCACCACGTGATCTGAGAGTTTGACATGACTATGTCCAGTTCGGCTAAAATGCCAAAAATACCCTAATGGAGGAATTCAAACTGTGTACATTGCTTGATGAATGATGTAGTCTGTAAACATCAAACCAATCTGCCCAGTCCTTTTGTCTACAAGATGTCCATTACACATAGCCTTAAGAGTTCATCTTTCTCCAAAAAAAAACACCAAAGAAAAAATAAGGACATAGTCACTAATTATAGCCGCCAGCCGACGAAGTACTACTAAATATAGAACAGAAAACATTCATTTTTAAAACGGTTCTCTAAGATATGATGAGGACAAATAATTTAAAAGGACTGCCGAAGACGACCAGATGTTAATTCCCTTCGATTTTAAACTTGTATGTCTGAATTGTAATCAAGTTTGTAATTACCTTGACCGCAGCAACTAGTAATAGAATTTACGTTGCTTTTTTCTTGGTATTGATAAGTAGTTTGAGCTAAAATTGCAAGCGCGTTATTTACCTTAATAATATGTGCATAACTATTCTTCGGAGGTGTACGATTTCTGAATAATATTATTGTTTAGTGTTGCATTTTTATGACTGTAATATCGACTTATGAAACTGAAAAAGAAGTCTATGGTGCAGCGGTAAGGCTCCTCGTGGTCGCACGCAAACGACTTCAGTTCGATTCCCGTGTGGGGAGAATGTTGATCAAATCTCTGTCTTTCTGCTGGGACGTTGCATCCCTCTTAGCATAAGTTTGGCCCTGATTAGAATGAACAAAGCCCATCTCTTAAATTATCAAAATTGTATCAATGGAGACGTAAAACATCATCTATATTTAAAAAAGGAACCATAGGCTAAAAAAAAAAATTGTTCATGGCTCATTTTTCGTTTAAAACATGGTTCAGAAGAAACACCTTACCTTTCATTTTTGCGATTCGTTGTTTAGCGAAAAATTATTAGACTACCATATTTTAGTTTGATAAAAACAATTAACACTACGTTCGTAACTTATCATTAATTAGACTGTCAAAATACGCCATTTTCAAAAGAAGGGGGATTAAGGGGAAAAAAGGAGCTGTTTAGAAACACATTAATCAAACACAAATTATGCTAAGAAACAAGCGCGCCCCAGGTTTTCACAGAACATTTTTTGTTGGTTTTTGTTTTGTTT